TCCTCTACTCACCTGGGTTTGTGAATTTTCTCTCTCTCTTTATTTTAAAAGGGAATGTTTCATAGTCTGTTTTTGTGATTAGATTATGGTTAGATACTGTGAGTCAGGATGGTAAGATTTATATAAAAACTGTTATATATGGGGGTCAGCTGAGTGACTCAGTTGTTAACAGTGCAAGCTCTGAGCAACAGGGTCGTGGGTTCGATTCCCACATGGGCCACTGACACTGCGCCCAAGCTGAGCTGTCACTGAGCTGCCAACAGGTGGCAGGATGGTTTAGCTGGTGAGAGCATGTGTCCCTAACAACAAGGTTGCAGGTTCAACTCCTGCATGGGATGGTGGGCTATGCCCACCCGCAACTAATATTAAACACGGCACCTTGAGCTGAGCGGCTGTGAGCGGCCAGATGGCAACTGGACTTGGAGCTGAGCTAGCTGCGCCCTCCACAACTCAGATTGAAGGACAACAACTTGGCTGTTCCCCTTCCCCAATTGCCCAACACTGTTCCCCTTCCTCAATTCCCCAATGAAATCTTTAAAAAACACACACACAAAAAAAAAAAACAAAGAAAACTGTTATCCATTGGAATAAAAAAGGTCATAAATGTTCCCTCTGGGATCTTTCCTTGGGCCTGATGGGTAGCGGAGATGTCAAGTATGAAATGTAAGATAATTGGTTGAAAACTCAGAGGCAAATATACCTACATAGGATATAATGATGACTGTTTCAAATATTAAGGACATTTTTCTTCCCTCTCATGTTCTTGGAAGGGGAATAGGACTTTAGTCCTACTTCACAAGAGGCTGAAATATTGGAAAGAGCACCTGGTCCCACTGACCCAATATTATTCCCTGTTCTCTGTGGGTAGCTAGGAGATAACTGTAATAGTTGAGATTTTGAGTACCTGTCATCCACTACGCTGCAGGGTTACCTGACATCAGGGTCGCTGAATTACAAAAATGGGACTTACTACTTCCTTGCATAAGCACATCTGGCCTCATGCAATGTTCACTCATCCCCCTGCTTCTGTTCTATGCAGTAAGTCTGCCATTGTGAGGTGGTCCCACCCATTTTTCAACCTCTCTGGAATTGGTTGAGTAATTTCAGACAGGCACAGAATGCAGCATGGTGCCGTATTCTCCACTCCAGCTTAAGCATGCATGAACCCCATCATTTGGAGCCATATTTGGCTCTCATATTTTGCTCAGAACCCTTCCTGGAAAGTGAGAAAACCAAACCATGTTTATGTGTTGGGAATATGGAAAAGGTGAGTAAGGACCCTACCCTTCTGTGAACCCTCTTTCCACATTTCTTCTGACCGCATTAGTCAGGCACTACAATGTTGAAAAGCAGCAAGGAAGAAGGTTTTTTCAGTGTTGACAGTGGTGCTGAAATTATTTCACATTAGAAGAATTAATCTCTTTCAGGTAGTCTTCACATAACCTTCATGTTAGAACCATGCATTTCCTCAAAGTTTTTATGTCAACCTGCTTTCTGCCTTAAGGGCACAATCATAGATCCCTGGGAGGAAACAGGTTATGAAGGCAGGGACATTGGGGGTTAATACTTGACTGTTCAAAGTGCTGGCTTCATTTCTAAGGAACTGAATGCTCATGAAAAATACAATTAATTGTTGTCTATCTTTACAGTGATGAATCAAATGGGAATCTCATTAAAGATAGACTTGTTCAACTGAGATGCCACTTTACATGGAAGTTGCTAATTGAAGACACTGAAGTGCCTGATTTAGAAAACAGGGTCTTCGATGAGATTGAGTTCCTAGACACCAAATACAAAGGGGCAATATACAACCTTCTGGCCTATGTGAAACACCTGAAAGGCCAGAATAAGGAAGCCCTGCAGAGCTTGAAAGAAGCCGAAGACTTAATCCAGCAAGAACACGACAATCAATCCGAGCTGAGAATTCTGGTTACCTGGGGCAACTATGCCTGGCTGTATTACCACATGGGCCAATTGGCAGAAGCCAAGACTTACCTGGACAAGGTGGAGAACACTTGCAAGAAGTTTGCCAGCCCTTACTGCTATAGAATGGAGTGTCCTGAGATGGACTGTGAGGAAGGATGGGCCTTGCTGAAATGTGGAGGAAAGCATTATGAGCGGGCCAAGGCCTGCTTTGAAAAGGCTCTGGAAGTGGACCCTGAGAACCCTGAATACAGTGCTGGGTATGCAATCTCCACCTACCGTCTGGATTACTTTAACAGATCAACACAGGTCAGTGAGGCATTTTGTCTGCAGCCCCTAAAAAAGGCCATCAGGCTAAATCCAGAAAATGCATTTATTAAAGCTCTCCTTGCTGTGAAGCTTCAGGATGTGGGACAAGAAGCTGAGGGAGAAAAGTACATTGAAGAAGCACTGAGCAGCAAGTCCTCGCAGACCTACGTCTTTCGCTATGCAGGCAAGTTTTACCGAAGAAAAGGCTCTGTGGATAAAGCTCTTGACCTCTTAACAATGGCTTTGCGGGCAACACCTGACTCAGTCTTCGTGCATCACCAAATAGGGCTTTGTTACAAAACACGAATGATTCAAATAAAGAAAGCTACAAACTGGCAGCCTAGAGGACAGGATAGAGAAGAGGTCGACAGATTGCTGCCGTTGGCTATATGTGAATTTGAAAAGGCTTTGAAGCTAAAGCCCACATATGAGATGGCTTATGTTGAACTGGCTGACATGTATGCAGAAGTTGGCCGGCACAGAGAGGCTGAGGACATTTTTCAAAAAGTATCACGCATGAGGCTGTGTAATCCTCACCTACAACAAGAGATTTATTACCGCTATGGCCGATTTCAAGAATTTCAAAAAAAATCTGAAGCCAATGCAATTATCTATTATTTAAAAGTAGTAAGAGCAGAAGAGCAATCAATTACAAGGGAAAAATGTATCATTTCTTTGGAGAAACTGGCTCTAAGGAAACTTAGGAAAAATGCATTAGACATAGAAAGCTTGAGCATCCTTGGGTTCATCTACAAATTGAAAGGAGAAATGAATCAAGCCCTGGAGTGTTATGAGAAGGCCTTAAGGCTGGCTGCTGACCCCGAGAACTCTGTGGTATATGATTGCTAGGTGCTGAAATATGGACCACTTTCACATTTCATTTGATTTTAGGTTCACATGCACTAATCATCTCTTCTGCTTGCTGCTTTTGGAAGCGTGTCATTTTTGAAGACTTACTCAAACCTTATAGTAGCTGTATTCAGAAAATAGTGAAACAGAATATATATGTCTCTGTGTGTGAAAGGTACCATTTCTCTATGAATGCTCTGTATAGAAAAAAAAAGTTTGTTAAATAGTTTTTTAGCATATAAAACACTGCACTTACATAAAATAAAATGTTTAATTCATTAATTTGATCAACAAATAGTTTTCAATGCCAGATACCAAAAACACTATGGTGATGTAAGGAGAATTACTTTCCTCTACCAATCTTAGGTTGGTTGACTTGGGCCCCATAAATTAGACTGAGAAACGACAGATTAACAAGAGAAAAGAAAAGAAAAGTTCATTAACATGTGCATCTCACATACACATGGGAGTATCCACTGATGAGCAGTTCAAAGGGGTGGATACAACTTGGGCTAATATAGCATCTTAACAAAAGAACAATACATTTTTAGTGAAAGGATAAGACAAAGGAAGAGAACTTTGAGTTCTAAGGTGGCAAATTATAGGATGGTAAATACGGGGGGGGGGGATGCCAAATATTCATGTATACACATTTTAAGAGATGTTATTTATGTAGCAGTAGTTTGCCATAATCAGAAGTGTCTGGACACTGATGGTAACCACTTTGAGCACCTCTTATAAATGTAGAAGTCAAACGTGACTTGTATTCATCTTTTGTTATCGGTATATATTGTTACCATTTTAATACAGCTTTTTCCTTTCTTAAAATGTGTATACATTTTTTTGTACCCTCTGTATATGGGGGAAACTAATGGAAGATAAGGGCTAGTTAGTAAGGTTTGTTATGTAGATTCCTCTGGTAGTGACTGGTCTGATAATGGCCTGGAGTTGTCTCAGGTGATTTATCTTCTGTCCAGGTACAGAAGGAAAGGGGAACACCTTTAGGAAATCCTGTCCTGCTTTTAGGCTGATGAGGGGCAGAGACTCTGCTTTTCTTCTACATGTTTCCCCCTATCCAAAAGCAAAGCGTTCCTGTGAGATCTTTCATAAGCCAAAATGGCATAAAGCGAAAAAGCAACTGCCTTAGAAGTCATTTTGCTAATGTAACAGAGATAAAACATAGATGCTCACAGACACAGCTCAAAGCCATGGCAGTTTTGAGACATGCTAGTTAGCATGTTGTTAGGTAGACAGGGAAGTCCCTAGTAAAATAAAACAAAGGCAGCCATATCTTGGAAATCCAGTTTCTGAAATGACTCTTTCACTCCAGGGCAAAAATGTAATTGTGCTCTGGGGGGTAAACAGGTTGTTTTATAAATTCCTTTAGGATAAGCAACACAGTGAATCTGATAGACAAAATCCATTACAAAGTGCCAACTCCCTCCCCCAACCATGCAAGAGAAAGTATAAAAGTAAGAGTCTTTTGCCTTAGCCAGTGGGCATCCCAGTTTCGAGTACCCTCTCTCATAAGAGAGCTGTACTTTTGCTTCAATAAAAATGTTTGCTTCTCTACCTCTCCTTCCGAGTCCACGTTCTCATTCTTTGGGTACATGAGACCACGATCTCCGGGCATGAGACACTAGCATCCTATATTAGTTTCATGCTGAGATGCTTGAGTGTACCTCCCAGGGAAAGAGCTTGGCATTGCCACTCTCACTGCTGGGGTAGTGCCCTGCCTCTATTAAGGCTCCCTACAAAACAAACAATGTACATCCCTTCCCCTTCTCCTTCATCCCCACCCCTCCCAACTAGCAACGCTTAGTTTTTCCTCTGTGTCTCTGAGACGATCTCTGTCCACATTTCCCATCCATTCAGTTCCTTAGAATCCATGTATAAGTGAGATCATATAATATTCATCTTTCTCTGACTTATTTCACTTAGCATAATGTTCTCTAGTTCCATCCATATTGTTATGAATGGTACTATTTCCTTCCTTATAGGGAATGGAGTCCATGGAATTGTAATAGATAAGCAAGATATCGGGGGTGGGAGGGCAATAGATGGGGGAAGGGAGGTTGTTACTTTGTGAGGGGTGAAAAGGATAACTATTGCATTGTTCTGTACACCTGAAACTAACAATAAAAACATTAAAAATAAATAAATAAATAGCAACTTTATAGTAAAAACAAACAAACAAACAAATGATGAACACTATTCTTTTTGCCTTTTTTCATAAATGTGAAAGCCTTCGGAACTTTCGATTAGCAAAACTAGGTACATTTTTCATAAAAGCGAGGTGGCATAAAGAGAGCTTTTGAAAAGTAGAGGATGGCTGTATCTGCTTCTTCTCAATTGCCTTCAGCTCAAAATAATTCTTATGCCAACATGTCGTTGTCGACGAAAAATACCCAGCCTAAGAGAAAGCTTATGAGAGTTTATTTGAGCCAAACTGACAATTGCTGGTGATGCAGGATATTTCTTGCGCTGGGATGGTAGTATGGTGAAGCCGAAGAATAGAGACACAGACCAGAGAGGTGAAGTTTATAGCAGAGGATAGTTTATTAGGGTAGAAAGTAACAGCTCTCAAAATGAGACGGGGTCCCGACGGGGTTTCCCCCTAGTTAGAGTAAAAGCTTTGGTTTTTATACCTTTTGTATGTCTGGGGAGAGGACCACCTGGTGTCTCTTGGCACTATTATCGGATTTACATTGTTGCTTAGCCCGGAACAGGCCGTTTCCTCGAAACTGTCTAATTTTCTTAGAGTTTAATCAGCTTAATCAATGTCTCTGCTCTGAGAGGAGCATGTTAGCAGAGACTGACCTGGAAGAAAGGACTCCTGACAGTCTTATGTTAAATAACCTCTTTGAAGATATGCATTCTACCTGGGAATCCCTGACATAAAAAAGGGGTCTTTTTCCTCCCCTACCTGAGTTTGTCACTCTGGTGGGTCCTGTGACTTAAACCTGTGTGTCAGCCAATAAATTATTTCCCTGGCTTTGTTCTAGTTTCCACCCTGATTCCCTCTATCATGGCAATTTCCCTGACTGCCTATAATTTTCCTGTCTCACTGAGAAGGAAAATCTCAACAGATTGAGAAAATGCTCTGCGAAATGGCTGTTGGCAGTTTATTTTATACATAAAATCAAAGGAGGAAGGTTACATGAAATCTATTGGTGATAGCTTAAAGGGGTGGGAGAAAGCAAAGCGGGGAAATCTCTGGGATTGGAGAGACAGGTACTCCTTTCACATAGGTGGGCACAGGGTAGTTAATAGTTCACATAGAGATGTTAATCAAGGGACAATGATAATAATGAGGATTCTGACTTTTCTTCTCTGGTCTAGAAAAAGGGATTACTGACATTCAAAGGATGTCATTTTAGGTGCAAAAAGACAATAGACAGGCCCATTGAAAGGTACAGATTAACTTTATGAAGGAAGATTTTGACTAAAGATATAAATTGCCACCATGGCCCACTTAGTTATGAAATATTTTTTTATACTCACGCCATCTTATTTTCTGTCTCCTGAGCTTGTCAGCTTTACTATGTGGCCCCTTTTCCATGCAACAGCATACTTTGGAGTGATATGTTGTACTACCCTTCAGTGAACAAAACAGACATTTTCTCCAAACCTCATGCAATTTACTGTTAAGACAGAGGGACTGTAATGGTGGCTCTAGTCTTTTATTTTGAGATTGGTTCTCTGGTATAATTTGATTTAACAAGTGTAATTTAGCTTGAGACTTTTTGAAAGCTTTCTTTTCTTTCTTTGCCTCTTAATGATTCCGCTTCCTATACATTTATTATGCATAGCAGTTTCAATGTTTCTATTTACTCTGGCCCAGTGTTGGTCCTGTGACTTAAGGGAGGTGTTGCATCTGTATGGGATTCACTCCTGGCTCCAACTTAAATCTACATAACATATGCAAATGTTGCCATAACCAATTTAACTGTACCATCCCCCACCCCAACAGACAAAGTCAAACTCATTGGAAGCTTCTACTCATTGGAAGCTTCTACTTACAGGCAGAAGCAGTTTACATCCTGGTTAGAAAATATAAAACTTGAGACAAAGACTCCACACTATAGTTTGCAGTCGTTTCCAACACTCTGCCCAGCTGATCCTCCTCTTACTTTAATAAATCTTCCTTCTCTATTTCTACCTGACTCGTGAATTCTTCCACAGCCCGTGAGCGAGCAGACACAACATTTACAATCTAGTGAGAGAGACAGGCAGTAAACTAAGTACAGTCATGCATTGCTTAACAACAGGATACACTCTGAGAAACGCATTGTTGGGTGATTTCATCATTGGGCAAATATTCGAGTACACTTACACAAAACTGGATAGTACACTGTACTATATGCCTAGGCTATATAGTATAGCCTGTTGCTCCCAGGCTACAAATTCATACAGCGTGTTACTGTACTGAGTACTGTAGCAGTTGTACCACAGTGGTATTTGTGTATCTAAACATATCTAAATATAGAAAAGGTACCATAAAAAATCGTAGACCTATATAGGGTGTTACCAGAGAGCGCACCCTTCTCGATGTGATGTCTGGGCTTGGTTTCCACACTGGGGGTCGAACCCGGCAGTGTGCAGGCTAGATTCTCAGACCAGGGCTCGAACCCAGGCCTCCAGCAAAACTGGGAATCCTAGCCACTGTGGCTGCCGGAGGACGGGCCCTCCTCAGAGCGGTGTCCAGGTTCTTGGCACCTCCAGAAAAGAATTGAACGAGACACAGGGGTCAAGTAGTGAAAGAGCAGATTATTAGAAAAAGAAGTCCCTGCAAAGAGGTAGAAGCGGGCCTGGGAAGAAAGCAGTGGCTCAAGGGCCCATTATTAGAAGAGAAAGTGTTGCGGGGACCCAGACAAAGGGACAGGACACCAAGGCGTGGGAAGCAACTTTTAGGAATGCCGGCACCGCCTCAGCGGATTCACATCCAGAGGCTGAGCCCCGACCCGGGAGGGACGCGGGGCTATATACCCTGAGGTTTCCGGCTTAGCAGCTAAGCTTCCTTATTAGGACATGCAGCTTTGTGCCAGTTCCTGACTGGCTCCCAGGTGAGGAAGGAATTTGGAAATGTTAAACGCGGAAGGCTTGCTGACCATACAGTCCAGGAATGCCTTTGTCTGAAGCCCGGGCAAAATCCTTAGTGACCACATGGTCTGGAAGGCCTTTGTCTAGGGCCCACTGCCACAAAAGTACACTCCAAAGGGTTAGGAGTGAGCCCAAGCAAAAGCATGGCTCAAAAAGGCTGCGTCTCAAAGACTCAAAGGGCCAGGGCCAGGGCCCTGACTGGAGAGGATTTGGAATTTTACCCCTTTTTTCTCTAGAATGGGCTGTTCCTTTCCAGGCGTGAGACCACTTCATTGACACCTGTGATTGACAAGAGGCTATTACCTCCTCCTTTTATTTATTTATTTAATGTTATTTTTTAAATAATCAATTTTTTAAAAAACTATTATTAGGGAACTGCATGTGTTTCCAGGACCCATCAGCTCCAAGTCAAGTAGTTGTTTCAATTTAGTTGTGGGGGCACAGCTCTGTGGCCCATGTGGGATTGAACTGGCAACCTTGATGTTAAGAGCACTGCGCTCTAACCACCTGAGCTAACCGGCCACCCCTACCACAT